ATGTAACGAAAATATATTCCATTCGAAAAAGGGTGGGTGCAGAACGACTGCCATAAGCTATAGGCAGGTGAACCTAAAATGCATTTGTCGCAAAGTGGCGGAACCAATCACCAGAGAATATGCCATGAATTTTTCTTTAAGACAACGACGCTATCACCAGTGTTCAACGCGGTTTTCAACAAAGTCAGTTCCACCGACCGACGCGTTCTCTTCAGTGCAGGAGGGGTCTCACGCGTTAGAAGATATAAGAGTGAAATTGTGCTTCGACCGAGCGCTGGAGGTTGATGATGATGTCGCAGATGGAGGTAGTGGAGGTGGAGGCGAAGAAAGCCTACGAGACGAGGGGATAGGCGTAGAGGAGGTGCAGAAGTATAGGGTAGGAGAATACAGGATTCATGCGGTGGAATGTCCCGGACAGCAGCCCTAGGACGGACTACACCCACAACTTCCACCCGAGTTTTGCCTTTGAAGCGAACCGTCTTCGTCACTCGAGAGACAACCCGCAAGGCGCCACAGCACGGTTATTTCACTGACTGACGTACTCTATCAGATCAGTGACAAAAGTGAGGGCGGGTTATCAAGTCTAATTCGTGATAGGACTCAAACGACGATGGCCTGGACGGAACCAGGGAGGGCGGACGCATTAATTGCTGGAAACAGTGCTAGAGATTGGTAACATCCTCAATCATGCAGCTAGAGATTGGCAAAGTCATCTCACCGGGAAGTCGGACGGTGGCGCCTGGCAGCGGTTCAGCGGCCAAACAGACAAGGCCCAACTGTAGGATGGGGCAGATCTCCAACAGGACCAAAAGAGATGGAAATTCCTATTCTCTGGACCGTCTGCAGAGCGTAGGAGGGATTCCAGCTGATGGTGAAAACTCCTGATCATCCCATTGGTAATCAGATTATGGGCTGTCGTCCGGACCCCACTTGACAAAACCGTCTGTCTCCTTACAACACATCACCATGACCGTCTTTACTGGCTTCACCAGTGGTAACATTCCGGTCATACCGCAAAACATTATCACTATTGATCTCGCCACCTGAATCATGGGCCTAATTCCAAATTTATCAAATTTCGATCGCCCATTCGCATCACGCATTGCTGGCCGGTCACTTGTGAATCCACCACATTGAGCCTGGTGTATCATTGCCAAGCACACTAAATTACACACGTCGCATACGCCCCAACTGCATAAACTGCCCAAGGACTGCCGGTCATCGCATGGGCCCATTTGCCAACGTGAGCCCCCGCCAGTCTTCGATAAGACCCCACTCTGGATACATTCATCGCGTCTGTCCCTGTTTGCCCACACACGCATTTGTTGCCACTTTGATTTTCCCAGAACACCAGGCACCAAATCTGGCGATAATCACACCGCTTTCTATCAGCAAACATTTGGTTCGCTTCGTCATTGCCGAAGTGACCGGCGCAACTATACATACTAAAACATGTACATCCTACTTGAGTTGGGGTTGCTTTTTCTTCTCACCATTGGCCTTTCCTCTATGAACCATCATTAGCAGCTTACATACGAAAACCATAAGAAGAAAAATAGGTATTTCTCATCAACAGAAGAACCCTCTTTACTATTATGTGAAACAATAGGTGAATGCGTGTGTTAGACTGCAAGGTTCATTTTTCAAATCTTCCTTCTACTGTTGTTTCCGCTCTTGTAGGAGTTATATGGGCCAACTATTTACAATGCGACGTTTCCAGTTAGAAGTTCTGATTTAGGACTCGCTGCCGGTAGGACTCTCGCCTTCGTGGGACACTGAAGTTAAAACAAAACATCGGTTAATACGCACCTCCACCTTCAAAAGCGACTACGTTCGTAGTATGTGGCGTTCGGCATGAATATGTAAATATAACGGTGCTAAACGACCAAATCCTATGAAAAGTGTTACTTGTAGATGGTCGAAATGGAAAGAACAAACATGCTGCTTGGACTTGAGTGGACAGACTTGACAAGAAGTGTTGTGGATAAAGTGAACGTTAGATTCGCAATTTCAGATGAAAAGTCTGGATAAGTAGAATAACAGAAGACGGCAAAAGTTAAAATTCAGAAACTCCTGGGAGCTGTTCATTGAGGAGGAAGGGAAAACGAGATAGGAAAGTTGACGCGAAGAGAAGGGCGGACGAAAGAAGAAAAGCCATAGAAATAGACAGTATTCAAGGGCTATTGAAAGCCCTGATAGAACGAAAACGGTATGGCCAAACATACCAACGGTGTGAATTAACTTCAAGCTCAAATGCCTTGGGGAGACATCCGTTATTTCAAAAAATCATAATTAGCCATGGTCCAATATCCCCACGAATTATTTTCTAAGGAGGAAGAGTGTTAAAATGAGGTCTGTGATTCCGTCAGGAGAGTGGCTAACGTGTAGAATGATAAGTCAGCTAGAGAGGAAGCAGTGCAAAGCACAGCTCTGGAGCCACTGGACGAAATAAGGAAGAAGGCATTCCTCAGGATTTGTGGCTATCGAACTAAGGAAGTAGATAGTTTCAGAATACCTCAGGCAATGTTGTTTCTGAACGCACAGAGCAAGGATAGCATCGTCTCACGAATCCATGCTGTTAGTCGGGTTTTTACAGTCCTTAGAAAGTGTAATTAGACGGGACCA